AGTATTCTCAAACGATAGATGCAGCATTCTGTTATGCTTGTCGACATTTTCCTATGCCTGGAAATTTGCCAGATAATACTTTCACACGCAGTGGTTTCTCTAATTGGAAAAAAGCAACATATTCTGATGGAGGATTCATTTCGCATATACGTTCAAATGCGCATATGGCAGCATATCAGACTTGGATTGAATACAAAAATAAAAAACCACAACAAGCTATTCTGGATATGTTATCAGACAAAAGAGAGAAACAAATAAAAGCTAATCGCCATTATATTGCAGCTGTTATTGATGTACTCAAGTACACTGCTGTGCACAAAATAGCCCAAAGAGGACATGACGAAAGCAGTAGCAGTATGAACAGAGGAAATTTTCTCGATTTAATAAATTTGGTTGGCAAGTATGACTCTGAAATAGGTAAAAAAATAACTTCATTGCCGGGAAATGCAAAATACACAAGCAAGACGATCCAGAATGAAATACTTCATTGCATGGCAGCAATGGTTCAGCAACAAATCATCAATGAAGTCAAAGAGAGTGTTCAATTTGCAATAATGGTAGATGAAACGAAAGACTGTCGAAAAACAGAACAGGTTAGCCTAGTAATACGATATTTTGTACGTGACGCCGTATGCGAAGCATTTATTGGATTTGTGCCTGCTCATGATCTAACTGCTGATGGTTTGAGTAATCTTATAATTGATGAACTGGGTATGCCTTGAAATGTGGGACTGGATAATGACAGGTTTATCCAAGCTCCTACCAATATGTGTGCTATGAATCACCAAAATCGGAACCGATAATTCGTCATTTAGATAATCAGATTTGAAAACAAATGAAACAGGCAATTAATATTGCACCAAAGGATGAGTGAAATAACATTAATTAAGTTATTCGCTGCACCTTAGTAGTGCTTAAGAAAGAAATAATACCTAAATAAACTTTAATTTTTAATAATTGCATTACATAAGAATATATATATATATATATATATATATATATATACATATATATATATATATATATATATATATATATATATATATATATATATTAAATCTTTTTGAATATGTTTTAATTTGTTTGTTGTGTACTTTTAAACACAAAACACTCCAGCATGTCTGGCCCCCCCATGCCCTACCCCTTGCCCATCGCTTGCCCCCCCAAAACCAATTACCTAGATCCGCCCCTGATACATGACTGCATGTACCTATAGTATTTTATTGCCCTATTTTTTCATATTAAAAACTTTACTATGAGCAAAGCACGCAATCATTATAATTAGTTTTGGAATTTTTTTAACAGTTAAAGTTTAAGTAATTTGCAAGCTTCTAATATAGAAAATATAATAACATAAACGCTTCCTGGTCAAGTTTAGGTAAAGTGCTTAATTTCAATTCCTATTTGTAATTCTAAACATGGAACAAATGGAAGTATTGATGAAAGTGTTACTTGCACTACAATTTTGGACTGACGTTATCCTATTGTAGTCATTCCGATCTACTTATAGTTTTGTTTCAGTTCGTTTGAAGCAAGAGCAGAATTTATTAAAATTTGTACATAAAATTTCGACATATTTATAAAGCATTAATTAAAAAATTTCTCAAAAACGCTATCAGTTAACTCATGAACGAAAAAAAACATATAATATTCAAATCACAAAGAAGATAAATATGGCATTAAATTTTTCTTAAAAGTATCGATTGACAACCCAGGCATTTTTAATAAGACAACCTTCAATTATTAATTGACAGCTTATTAATTGACAACCCAGGCATTTTTAACCAGCAGCAGCAGGCAGTGCATTCCAAAACTTTGGCCCAGACGCAGTCGAGTTTCTTTCCTTAGCCCATAATAAGGCATTATCAACCGGCCTTAAATATGAATGACCACGTCTCAAGTTGATGCTTCTAGAAACTGTTGAATTTTTTCAAACTTATCCAACAAATAGTTTGAAAATTATTCGTTTTTTAACATTCGACCTATGCAGATCGTTCAAAGTTTGAGTGACATGATTGAACATTGAGCCTCCAACTACACTCACTTTTGCAGCTGTATTTTGCGACAGTCCAGTCATACGTGAATGTGCGTGTGGTAGATTCATTATCGAGATAGTTGCAAATGCGATACAATCTTTGCAGTTGATAAGAACACGACGACGACGACATTCTCAAGTGTTTTCTCATTGACAATTCTAAACCTAATAAAACACCCAGGTTAATGGCTTGTTTACAAATTTCTACATACTGGTCACCAACACATCAACGATGAATTTACAACTTACAATACATATATATATATATATATATATATATATATATATATATATATATATATACATACATACATACATACATATTTTTATATATACTTATGTATATTTATATAATATATACATATTGACGCAATATATATATATATATATATATATATATATATATATATATATATATATATATATAGAGAGAGAGAGAGAGAGAGAGAGAGAGAGACAACCACTAGACACACCCCTCTCTTCTATATATACAAAACTCGCCTCAAATTTATCCAGACCCGTATAAAAATAACAGGTCCTAAAATTTGGACAGAACTTGTACCTCCCCATCTAAGAGCCATCATAAACCTACAACATTTCAAGTCAAAATTCCGTGCTTTTTTATTGACACTGGATCTCGACTCCACCACCTAATATTATATTAAGAATACGCTAGAACAAATGATGCGGATGAATGGTCTTTATGAATGGTTAAACATTTATGTGTTTATATATGTACTGAGGGAACATTTACATAGTTATATGTCTATATATGTATGACACGAACATTTACTTATTTATCTTCAATTATCTTTCTGCTTCAGGTATTTTCCTTATTTTATTTCATTAACTATTCATGTATCTACCTGCAGTGGCCACCACAAGACAAACAGTCTTATTCGGTCTCCGCATATTCAACTTCATAACTTTTATTCACTTATTTGATATGTTGTTGATTATGAATAAAACTTTGAAAATGAAAAAATGAAAAATATATATATATATATATATATATATATATATATATACATACATACATATTTTTATATATACATATGTATATTT